AGCACAAGACCAAGTTGCGACAACGAGGTCAACCCATTTCTATAAGTCGAAAGGAGACTGCGACCATACCTGAGGCCACAACATCTTGGTCTTCACATCTTCAAAAGAAGATAATGTTTTTGTGTGGAAGAAATGAATTCCGCAATTCATTACTTGTTTTCCTCCATCATCATATTTGATATGCTCAATTTAGACTTGGAAATGGCCGAAGACTAACTGGTCGGTAGGCCGCAACCCCACTTGTTCCATTTCAGCAGGAAATTGTGTTCGAATAGAGAGGATTTGCCAATTCCTCCTTGTGCTGTCGCCCACTCCCACCGGTCCGCGGCGTGCCTCTTGCCCTCGCTGTCCAGTTCTCGCGAAGAGTGCTCAAGCGAGAAAGCCCCGCCTCGAGCAGGGGTCACCGGTACCAGCAGTTGTGCCCTTGTGCCCACGACCTCACACTTCCTGGACCGGGAAGAGCGGTACCAACTCAGAAGACCTCTGGCCATTCGATCGTGTGCCGGTTAATTGGCCGGCCGAGGTCGAATGCCTCTCGTCCACCTCGGAGCCGGCTAATTGTCAGGCTGTTTGGGATAAAATAATTAAGTGATTGTGACTCTGTGTCTGCGTGTGGGTTTCTGTGTGTCTGTGTGTGTGTGTGTGTGTGTGTGTGTGTTAGTCTGTGGTTCTCTGCAATGTGCCGACTCTTGCTAGCGACCAGGTTGACATCGGTCCGTGTCAGCCTTTATATCCGGCCTCGGAATTGTCTTGCCGGACTCAGGCAGGATGTCAAGCTTTTACTCGTTTTTTCATTCTCTCACCCCGTCCTTTTCCCCTTTTCTCCACCCTAAACATTTCCCCTTTCCTGCCTCCACACCTTTGTCTTATGACATTGTTCACCAGTCGGTCCAATCCAAGGTGACAAAAAGTGCTACATATTCCAAGTGAGTAGAGCTAATGCAATCGAATGTAGCGGCAAATAGAGATTTGTTTCATCGAGGATCGCACTACAAAAATGGGACGTGGAAGAGGCCTGGCCAGCCTTGAGATTCATTGAAGATATGAAGACCAAGATGTTGTGGCCTCTGGAATGGTAGCGGTTCCTTTTCGATTTATAGAAGTGTGTTGACCTCATTGTCGCAACTTGGTCTTGTTGTCAGGGCGACTATGTATAACGCACCTAGTCCGAAGTCGTCTGCCATAGTAGTTGTCATGATTCCCAGCATCAGACAGTCGACTTGGTACATGCCGGCGCAACGTTTGAGAATGTACCAAGTCGACTGTCTGATGCTGGGAATCATGACAATTATTATGGCAGACGACTTCCGATTAGGTGCGTTCTACATAGTCCATTTGGTATTTTTATAAATTGAATTTCTTTTCAATAGCAAGTGAATGAGATACATTAATTGGTTGTGCTGGAAACCAAAGTATGCTTGCCTTTGGGCATTTGTGACTGCTGAATTGTGTGAAGAAATAGTCGACACACTTTTCTTCGACCGCGATGTGTGCCCATGTGGTGGACATCGTTAAAGTGTGAAACCATTCTTTATGCAATCTTAATTGTCTTAAAGCCTCGTTGACTCACGTCCAGCTAAAAGAAAGCCAAGCACGGATGGATCTTAGTTATGGAATGGCGCAACATGTACTTGTTTGCACAAGTCAGTGGTCAAAACTGCTCTTTCAT